TTTGAACATTAATAACTCAGCTGCTCCTGGACCAATGTCAATAATTTTATCATCAATCGATCAAAAATATTTCTACGCATCGATAGCAATGCTGCTGATTTTCAACAAGAAATTATTTAAAAATGGGAAATGTAAAGCATTATTAAAAAGCGTCGAAATAACTAACAAATACACTAATTACGCACATGCATATGCTGCAGATGCACAATTCTTAACATTGTTAATGTTAAAATCGAAATAGTTTTGTGATCCCAAACCAATATGTTTTCAAGATTTTGAACTAATAAAAAAGGATATCTCTGATACATATTGTATGCATAAATTCTTCGAAAATTAAAGTTAACGAATTTAGATCAATTATAGGACTAAGATAAAATTGCAATATCCTTCCTGGACAGTAATTTCATCAAAATTCTAGTACATGAATATAAAAAAACAAATAAGAATTTTAATACTTATAGTATGTTTGACCTAATCAAGAGTTAAAAAAAAACTTCACAAAATAAATAAGTCTTCTAAAAAAATATGGACGAAATTTTGCTCAAAATAAATTTAATGGACTTAAATTTTTTTTTCGATATCATAGGCTTAGACAGGTTTTGAATCTCCTGGTCTTCAAAATTCGTAATTCAAGATCTGAGGAAACTTACCTAGATTCTGAGACTCGCAGCATTTCTCGTGAGAAAAATTGTTCGAGATAAGAAAGTAGGAAAAAATTAGGAATCAAAAATTTCCAGAAAACTTGACATGTGGCAAAAATTGTGAATAATCAGGTTATAATTTAATTTCATCAGGTTTTTAAGATACTGGATTTTGAATGTCATAATCCTGATATTTGAAGCGAAAAAAAAGTAAAAAAGCATTTATGCACAACAATTTTTTTTAATTTTAGAACTAACTAACAAAATCAAGATTTAACTATATTTCTAATCGAAAGGAATACACTCGAAACTTACATGATTGTGTTTCTGCTTATAACTAGATAGTAATTTAACTTTTTTTTTTACAAAAGTTGGGATGTTTTTAATCTTTTAAATTTAGTTAGTTGTGGTTAAACCCATTTGGTATCAATTTATTATTTACGTGTACATTATACAGGAAAGAGTTTTTTCATGTAATTTATTTAATCAAAAAATACACACAAAAAGCACGCAATTTTTTTATGTACTAATCCATGCAAACTATCCTGCAGCTGAATTCCGGACATACAATTCATCGAAACGAAAGAAATTTAGCTCAATAATCAAAATCAAGATTCATTATTCAAGATTCCATCTGATTCCATTAGCTGGAAAACTTTTGAATACTTTCTGATCAACCTACAACCAGTGAACTTTACTAATATCTTGGACTATATGGAAATCTTTCGAATATTTCCTGATGTCTAGGAAGGATGTTTGAAAGAATGTCCTGTAACTTATGCAACGTTTCCTGAACATCTACAAAACTTAGGTTTTTCAAAATTTCCTCAACTTCAACGAAGTTCCCTGAATTTATTGCAAATTCCATATATTTTTTTCCATTTCTTTAAATTCTACAAAGATCTCTGAACATTTTTGCACTTCTGGAAAGCCACCTAAGACATCTACAAATATTCTTGAACACCTAGAAAGTTCCTTGAATTTAGCGAAGTTCTCAAAACCTTCAAGAAGTTCATGGAGCTTTTTTGGAGTAAGTTCCCTAAACTGAAGCAAAGATCCCTGAAGTTCTTAGAAGTTTATTGAGCTACTTTTAGATCTTTTAAAAAATTCCCTGAACTTTTTCAAAATTCCTTACACTTATATGAAGTTTTACACAGCTCCTCAAAATGCTACGAAATTCGAAAATCTTCTACAAAGTTTGCTGTTGAATCTCCACAACTATTCCACGTCCATGAGGCTAAAAAAACTGAAATTATGTAGAGGTTTCTGAACAATAATGAGCTTCCCTAAAATAAAATAATGTTTATTTTTTAACTTCTACGAAGCTCCTCAAATTTAAATGAATTCTCTACTCCTACGAAGTTTACAGAATTTTTCCAATTACCTTTTTTCTACGAATTTTTCTGAAGGTCTATGAATTTCCCAGAATTTCTACCAAGTTTACTTAATTTCTACGATCTTCCCTGAACATCTATTTGAAGTTTTATGAAGTTTCCACAAGTTAAAGAAAAATTCCAGGGCTCATGGATAATTTGTAGAGCCTGAAGACGTCTTATTAACAACGATTTGATGTAATATAATTTCTCAAAATTGTTTCTTCTAGTCCAGAACATAACAAAAGTAATCAACATAAAGGACTTTAAAACATCTTTGTTGGTGGTCCAATTTTATCACTGTTAAATAGTAGCATTGAACTTAACAAGCTTCACAAAATACTGGTGAGTCAAAAACAAACACCAAAAATTTCTGGAGGGGGCCTAGATAATTCTGGAGGGGGCCCGGCCCCCTGGCACCCCCATTAGTTACGCCAATGGTCTTCTTCTTCTTCTTCTTCGCATTTTTCAAGCTTATTGCATATCGCATATTAGCTTATTGCGTGCTCTCAACTTAGTGTTCTAGATGCACTTCCACAGTTATTAATTGAGAGCTTTCGATGCCTGTACCATTTTTGTATTGGTATAATTGTGCGGCAAGGCAAGTCCAATCATACTTTTAGAAGAAAAAAAAGAAGTCGAGAAATTTTCCAAACCGAAAAATTCCTAGACCGGACCGGGAATCGAACCCAGCCACCTCCAGCATGGTCTTGCTTTGTAGCTGCGCCTTTACCGACTGAGCTAAGGGAGGCCAATGGTCATCAGTCACTTTTCTCCTTCTTGTGGAGGGACTGAACTTCGAGGTTGACAACAGTCAGTGTAAGCACGGTAACCGCAAGATACCCAATAATGACTATCAAAGACTCGATATTGACTACAAAGTAAGTGTTTTCGAGGGAGAATGGGACTACTCATTAAATAGGAAAAAAGTTAGTAGTTTCATTGCTCATAAATGGGTAAAACTAATCGGTAGCTCCAGTTTCCCTCGAAAATGCTTACTTTGTAGTAATTATGGGGTATTTTGTGGTTGCCGTGTACTGATGAACAATTCCAGCAATGACCGACGATCTAGCGCTTGTCAATCTTCATATTCGTTTGGTATCGTTGAACCAATAAGAATGAATATTCTTAAAAAAGGCTTACATAGGTTTTATTTGATGATCGTTTTACTTTCAACTAGGACAGACACAGTGATTACCTGCACACAAGTAGATCGTTAAACCATCCGTGAGAATTAGACAATGTAAACAAACAATCTCAATAGACATAACTGCAGGGTTGCCAAACTCATGGGGTTCTGAGACCAACATTTCGGCACATTCGGCAGAACACTGGACACAGCTTTCGGCACAGATAAAGTTCTCGGCACAGATTTAGATGTACAGAGTTGAGTACCCCTTGGGACAAGGACAGCTTGAGATAATTGGGGTTTTTTACATTTATTATTTTTATCTAAAAGATCTTATTTTTGATTAATTCCAAAGACGCTATTTTAATTATTTTATAAGATCCAAAATGGCCAAGTTTTACCGAAAATGTAAATCATTACCGATAACAAACTAATAAGCAAAATTTTATGCAAATCGGAGAAGGTAAAGTTTTTTCGAATTGTCACTTGCCGTGGAACTGTTTATTTGGTTCCTTACTTCGATGTCAACGACAGTTTAATTCAGCGTCACCCACCTGTTTTAAATTTCTAGCCAATATCCCATCCGTTGGTCATCACTTTAAAAAAATATGACGTCTTAACTGGCCTCAAAGAAATCTAGCATTGTTATTAGATTTCAAGGAATTTTTCACCTCTTTGGAAAAAAAACAGTTCAAAAAGATAGATATAAACGATCAATCAATTAATTCAAACAACACTAGATGAAGATTTTTTGAAAATTTGCCCACTACCACTTTAATATAATAAAATTTAATTACCAGTCAATAACAACACGGTCTATAATTGCACAAAAACTCAAATAGCTCGAGAAAAAAACGTTTGTAAAAAAATAATTTAATCAAACTATCATGCACGAAACGGCGCCGGTGGTGTAGTGGTAAGCGTGATTACCTCTCACCCCAGCAGGCCTGTGTTCAATCCCAGTCGGCGCCGCCGGGATGTTCTGAGGCATAACATCTCTGATCACGCCTTCCTTCGGATGGGAAGTAAAGCCGTTGGTCCCCGGTTCATGAGTTGATGGGTCGATAGGTAGGGTCCAGGTGTGGGAGCTGCCTTCCTGGCACGTCGGTAGCATTGGTGCTCAGCACGGAAAACAAGATCGACGGAAAAAACAAACCAAATGGAAAAAAAAAAAAAATATCATGCACGAAGCCCGAGACTAATAAAAAAAAGGCGACCGATCCGATCAGCTTCTCTCTCAGCCTTCAGAATAATTGTCTAAATATAAATTTAAATCCTGAAAAAGTGGACGAATAGTCAATAAATCTGCACACTTTTAAAAGTTGATTATCAATGTCTGCCATGCTCAAAATAGCACGTAAAATCTATCCTGGTCTATTAGTATAGTTCAGAATCATCTCAAATAGTTGTTATGTTGAAAATAATGAAATGTCCGAATTAACTAACGACCCATGCCCCCCACAGTTTAGTTGATTTGAACAATGCATCGGCAACCTGACAAATATTATTATGTGCATCCCTCCGGACGCAAATGCTGAGGCAAACCACTTTCAGTTTCATCTAATCACTGGTGTAAATATCATCCTCACCACGCATCTTCTTCATTTTCCGTTGACCAATGTCCACCTTGGCGTGACATTAATATTTACCTACTCATTTTGCATCTAGCCTTTCCCGAGCTCAAAGCCATCGAACGCTTTACCGCTCATCAGTACTTTGCGTGACAAACGATTTCGTCTCAGCGATCTAGTGACCAGAAAACAAGTCTAACTTGAATTCGCTCTCAACCAAACAGGCTCCACGCAGATCTTAATACTATCACACTCAAAACGAGTTTCCGCCTTGTCGGTAACTTACCGCATCGTATTCGCTGCCAATTTTGGGGAATTCAAATTTTCCACCATATCCGACAGCGCTGGCGGCTCCGGCTATCAGCATCTTCCCCAGTGGCGGATGCTGATCGAAGTAGAACGTATTTCGAAGGTACAGCGATGCAAATCGCCCATAGTGGAGCTCGTCGAACCTGAATGTTTCAAGAGTTGTCGACATTAAATCCGCTTAATGATTGTTATTTAAAGTACTCACACGACCCCATTCGGATGGGTAAGCCTGAAGAATCGTGTCACGAATGACAGCACAAACAGCACCACTGATGCCCCGTCCAGCTGAACCCGGATCACAAAGCGTGGCTCATTATCGGATTTCACACTTTCACGATCGCTCAGCACTTCGGTCGGTGCTGGTTGGGATTTGAGCTTTTCGGGTTCGTCGCTGCCAGCACATTGCAGTTTCTGTTTGTTTTCCGCATTCTTCGTCGCCAGCTCCTCCTCAACCGAGCTGATGGATTTTCCTTTTCGATGCAATCTCCGATTGCGTAAGGTCGATTCCTCCGTCGACTCGGTGATGGTTTCCATTTTCGCACTTTCGATCACTGTCTACGACCAGACGAGACACGACATTTGTCCTCCGGAGATTAGCTTCTGCGATGTTTTAGGGTGTGAATCAAGTGCTGCTAGTGTTGCGTGTGTGGGAAATGTTAAGTGCAACTATTGAGCAATACCCACTGGTCAAAAGTGTGAGAGCACAGTGCAGCACATCTCGACACAAGGAAAATTCGTACGGGACTGACTCTAGGCTTGACTCTGATGAATGGGAGAGTGATCGGTGGTGCGTGCGACAGTAGTTGAACGGGGGAGGAATGACAGCGCGAGCGTGGTGTGTTTGGTTGTGGTTGTGAGCGATTGGCGATCAAAAGCGATCGAGAGAGTGCGTTCAATGTTTGAAGGGCACGCAGAGAAAAAAGCAAACAAATAGCTGGGGGTTATATTAAGTAGCGGTTAACAGTTGTGCTGGTTTCGTGTTTGAGGTGATTTACATATACAGATTATAGAAATCAACGAAGAGGGATAAGCTACATCTCTTTTTAAGAAAGCCATGATTTTGGCTACACACTTAGAAAAATTCAAGTAAATTTAGATTCTCTGAGACTGACATATACGAGCGTCAATTTTGATATAAAATTGAGACATAACAGATGCAAAATTCAGTTCAATCAAACATTCTTTTCGTCAAATGACAAACTTTTCAGTCTTGGAGCACAACAATTCTGAAATTAAAAACAGATCGTATAAAAATTCTGTTGAATTTCCAGAATTATTGAAATAGCTCTCATATAGCGGCCTAGTTCAAGGTGCCATACTAAATGATATGTGAAATGTACGTGAAAAAAACGAAGAAAATAGCAGCGATCAAAGAATGTTTATCGCTTGGTATTTGTCATCTTTCAAAGGAAGTTACCCTTCCTCAATCAACAGTAAATGAGATGATTAAATTTAATTAAGTTTTAGGTGCCACATTAAATTTTATGTGAAATCAAAGTGAAAAAATCGAAGAAAATAACGAAAGTAAAAATAACAATCGAAAATCGGAAAACGTCGATTTTACTTATTATTTTAAATTTAGAAAGCAAAATGATTCTTCAGATCGATCATTAAGCTTAGCCGAGATATTTTTTATGATTTTCACATTTGAAATATTTGCTCAAGGTAAAGTTATATCCAAAGAAATATTGATGAAAAATCGAAGATTGCAAAAAAAAAAACAAAATAATTGTAATATGCAATGGGCATACAAGTTGATGGGCCATTTGTGAATTTGCTTTTAAAGGGTGTCCACGATGAAATTGCCACACACAAAATTGATTCGCAAAATTCGAGTTTTCATCCGATTGCCATCAAATTTTCAGGGATTGAGAAATAACTATTAAACTTCATTTTACCATTTTACTCGTATTTTATTTACAGTCCATACGCAAATGCCCGCACCTTGGCCTTAACCCCGGCCATAAGATTCTGCACAACCTGTGATCCAACCGTTTTTTTTGCATGTAAACCCATACTTTCTTCAGTTCATCGACTGTCTTCACTACCTTAGGTCGTTTAAGAAGGTGCTGCTTCATAATCGCCCAGTACTTCTCGATGGGGCGGAGCTCCGGAGTGTTGGGAGGGTTGAACATTTTCGGCACGAAATTGACCTTATTGTCCGCATACCACTTCAGCACGTCCTTGGAGTAGTGGCATGAGGCCAAATCCGGCCAGAAGATTGTTGGGACGTTGTGGGCCTTCAGGAGAGGAAGCAGCCGCTTCTGGAGGCACTCTTTTATGTACACCTGTCCGTTCATCATGTCCTGGGTCACGAAAGGTGCACTCCGCTTCCAGCACGTGCAGATGGCTTGCCAAACCAGGAATTTCTTCGCAAATTTGGACATCTTCTGAGTGCGGACATGCTCCGGAACGCTGAACTTATCCTTGGCCGTGAAAAACAGGTTGCCGGGGATCTGTTTGAAGTCGGCCTTCACATATGTTTCGTCGTCCATGATGCAGCATTCAACTTTCGTCAGCATGTTGAGGTACAACTTCCTGGCACGGGTTTTGGCGGACTTGTTCTGCTTCTCGTCGCGATTAGGGGCCTTTTGTACCTTGAACGTTCGAAGCCCAGCCTTAGTTTTGGCCTTCTGGACAAAACTTCTGGGCTTCCGATCGGTGGTCAACCGTTCCTCGAACCGCTTAATCACTCGCGACACCGTGGAATTCGCGATTCCCAACGTTTTAGCGATGGAACGATGCGAGAGATCCTTGTTCTCGTGATGAATGCGCAAGATTTTATCACGCACGAGCTGTTCTTTCGACTCCATTTCCGCGAGTTTTGATAACAGGACTTTAAAACTTGCAGGATGTAAATAATGCACTATGAACTAAATCCACCCAAATTTTCATTAAATTCTACCCAACGGTTAAAAAGTTAGAGCAATTTCATAGTGTGGCAATTTCATCGTGGACACCCTTTAAGAAATTCCCAACAAATTTATAATTTGAGTCATTTCAACACAGCAAAAAATAAATTTGAATATTACATCCAACAGGATGCTCTTCAATCATGTCGAAAATCTCATGTATTTTTTATGGTCACAACAATAAACAAATGCAGTAAAAGCATTGAAGTGCATCCACTTTGATGTGATATTAAAATTATTTTCTTGCTGTGAATGTACGCATGCTATAAGATCCCACAAATTAAATCTAATTAATTGTGATGAATTGACGTGACGGTTGAACAAACCCCCCTCCCCCGTTTGTCACATTTGGTCACGTTTTTCTTAGATCTCAGTTACCCTGAAAGCCTGGGAAGAGCATGCAGCTACTAAATCGGAGAACGTTGGGTACGAAGCTCGCATCGAGGTCCTTTACCGGCGGGTCCGAAATCTACAAACAGTGTCATCGGAGATCCAGCATCGCGCTCAATCAGCAAAACCTACCTCCATTTCATGCTTTGAAAAGCATCTATTGTTCCAAAGTCCTACATTCCAAGGGATGACCGTTGGGCAACGGCGAGAGCTGATCTCCCAGAAGCGACTATGTTGGAATTGTTTCATGTCGTCACACATTGCACTGAACTGCGATTCAAAGTACACCTGCCGTCGTTGCCATGAACGGCATCACACGCTGTTTCATAAACCCACCACCAACTCCGTGGCTCAGCAAGCCGCCCAGTCCTCGGTGCAGCAAGCAAGTTCTAACGGATTGGCCAATCCGTCCTCCATGGTGAGTGTTCCAGCGCATGGCAGTTCTCCAACAGCTGTTTTCCTTTCCCCAGTTGCACTCTGGATCGAACATTGATTCGGAAAAGTACATTCCGCTCGGAGAAGCTAGCTCGTCGTTTGTGTCTGCAGTCGGACGAGTAAGCGTCGCATCCACCGTTCATTCCAAGGCCGACAAGTTTTCTAGCAACGTTCAGCGTTTCGAGTTCCATTGTCCTGCTGCTTGGAGTCGAGTAATTCCACGAGTATGTGAAGAGTGGCAGAATAATCCTCGGTGAAGGATCTCCAGTACTTTTCGAGACGATCTTTGGATGGGCTGTCATCGACCGTTGGCACGGCACATTTCCACTTATATCTCCGGTTTGCCTCCACTCGAAATCTAGAATCCATCCTGGAGCGGTTCTGGGAACTAGAACCAAGCTACCACAGCTAGAAACGCTGGCGGAAGGTATGTAGTGTCTCTGCCAAAATCAGAGGATCCCTATGTTCAACTCGGTGAGTCTCGAGCTATCGCCGAAGGTCGTCTGCGATGCTTGGAACGCAGACATGATCGTGATGAAGCAGTTAAAGTAGCCTACCATGAATTCATGGACGAGTACGTACGACTTGGCCATATGCGACGACTCGACGATCCAGTGGACGATTCCCTGGACCACATCACCCTGTGTTTAAGGCCAGTAATACCACAACAAAGGTACGGGTCGTATTTGATCCCTCCTGCCGTACCTCTTCTGGTGGTTCGTTTAACGATCTTCTACTCGTTGGCCCAGTCGTGCAAGAGGATCTCCGTTCGATTGAAATGCAATTCCGGACTAAACCTGTCGGAGTTGTGGCGTATGTGGAAAACATGTACCACCAGATTGAAGTTTGCCGCATCGATCAATCACTCATCCGAATCCTCTTTCGAAACAAACCGCCAGATTCAATAAATACAACTTTATGCAGACAGGAGTTCATGGTGGAACTTCGCTTTCAAAGCTAAAGTGAGGAATTTTTACAAAGGGGAGAGTTGGCGGCTAAATCAAGCTCATGCAGCGGAGAAAAGCAGGCTCTATGCAACGCTTGAAGATTTAATTAGACGAAAAATATCTGGAGAACAATTGGAAGGAGACATTGCATCGGTAAAATCTAATCTATTAGAGATTGAGCATTGAAGAATACGAAACTATGAGCACAAGATGAAGGAATCGAGTCTGGCAGAGGGGGAACGTCTGAGTCTCTTCCATGTCACAAAGAAATTAAATAAAAGTTCGCTTAAAGAGAATGGCTTACAGAACACTTCAGAGATGCTTCACAATATTTATGATTATTACAGTAAACAGTTTTCCAAAGAACCAGAAGAAAATACAAATGATCTTGATAACCCATTGAACAACATATCATTGTTTTTAGATGCAGCGGATAGTGCTAGTCTAATGCATCCGATCACCACGGAAGAAGCCTTCATTACTTTGAAACAATGTTCAAACAAAAAATCACCAGGACCAGATGGACTCACTTATGACTTTTATCTGGAACATTTCGACACAATAAAAGATTATATGATTGTGGTATTCAATGGCTACCTTAGTGGCACAATGATAACTCCAAAGGAATTTAGTGCGGGTATCATCACTTTAATACCAAAGAAAGGAAACCTGGCTCTGCTGGAAAATCATCGGCCAATCATCTTACTGAACACAGATTATAAACTTTTCTTTAAAACCCTGGCAAACAGAATAGCAAAAGTAATTGGTAAAATAATAGGTCCAGGTCAGAGTGCCATTGTAGAAGAAAGAGGTTGTGTTGACAACTTGAAAGATATTAGGCGGCTTGTAACAAGAGCGATGGATTCTAAGAAGTTCAAAGGATTCTTGCTGACTGTTGACCTTGAGAAAGCTTTCGACAAAGTAAATCACAATTGGTTATGGAAAGTGATGAAAAGCTCCAGTTTCCAGCAGATTTGATCGGATGCATCCGTAACATATATGAAAAAGCAACATCACGAGTCCTTTTCAAAGGATTTCTTACATTGGAGTTCTCTATAGGTTCATCAGTGAGACAGGGATGCCCACTTAGCATGCTCTTGTTCGCACTGTATGTAGAACCGCCAATAAGAACTATTAGTAACAGCAGCTGTGGGATCCTTATATATGGTAAGTTCTTGAAGGTTGTTGCATACGCGGACGATTTGAATATTTTCATCAAAACTCAAGAAGAGTTTGATTTGGTGATGCAAATCCTCAGCTCTTACACCTGTTTTGCTCGAATAAGACTAAATCTAGAAAAATCTTCTTTTCTACGGTTTAACAATGTGCCATCTGGACCACAATTAGTCAAAGAAGTTATCAAAATCAAGATACGGGGGGTTATGGTCTGTGAATCTTGGAGCAATATGATTGATGTTTAATTACGAAAAAATTATCAAGGATGTGAATTTCTTATTACAACGGCATAGAGTGCGGAATCTTAATTTATACGAAAAAGCATGGCTTATGAATACTTTTGTTCTTTCAAAATTGTGGTATGTCGCCCAAGTTTTGCCACCGAAAAATAAACACCTTGCAAAGATTAAGAAAGCTGTGGGACAGTTCCTGTGGAACGGGCATATATTCAAATTTTCACGAGATCAATTATACTTAGATTATGAAAAAGGAGGCTTAAAATTAATTGATCCTGAATCTAAATGTCAAGCACTGTTCATGAAAAATATTTTGTTTAACAAAAACGGTGAGGAAAATGAAGATGAAAAATACCTAATGAATTACAGAAACAAAGGACAACTAACACGCAATGGGAAGGAATGAAAACAATGTTTTGGAAATTAATTAATGATAAAAGGATTACAGTAGGAATAGAAAATCGGTTTCCTCAAGTCAAATGGGATGTTGTATGGGAAAATATAAATCAAAATTTCTTACTTTCAGCTGATAAATCAATTGTTTATAAATTAGTCAACGATATCATTACAAACAAGGAAAAGCTGTTGGAATATAATATTGGAAATTTATCCAATGTTGATTGTGAAGTTTGTGGCGTGCCTGATAATAATTTGCATAAAACTCGTGAATGCAAAAACACAAAAGAAATTCGAGATTGGGTAAAAAATATCATGCAGAAAAAGATGAATACAGAAGTTGAACATTTTGATCATTTACTACAATGGATATTAAACAAAAAAATCAGCAGAACTGTGCTGTCTTGCGGTTAGGGATACATACGTTAGCTTGGTGCATTTCAAATGAAGCAAATGGTAGCCTTTATTGTTTTAGAAAGTCAATTAGAGAAGCAAGATGGAACAATAGAAATATTTTTAAGAAATGCTTCGGTAGTTTCTTAAATTGTGGTTAGATAACATGTTGTTAATGAAAACTGATGTAATCGTTGAAAGAATGCGTGATAGAGTGATTGAGGATGTGAATGATTGAGAGGATGAATGCAAGAGTGAATGAGAGTGTGTGAGATAAAATAACCCCGAGTCCACCGCGGGTAAACGGTTTTTGTAATACTAGAATGTAAGTTAGGTTAAGATAGGTTCAGGTTTGAATAAGGAAAAAGGAACAAAAGTGAAGTGTTAACGAAAATGTCAATGGAAAAAAATGTTAACTGTAATTGTAAACCAATGTAAAAAAAAAAAAAAAAAAAAAAAAAAAAATATCCACGTTCGAGCTTCAAACCGTTACACACGGTACGTCCTCTGCTCCATTCCTCGCCTCTCAAACTCTCGTTCAGCTCGCCAACGATGAAGGTGAGAATTGTCTGATGGCCAAGAACCTCGTACTTGAAGATTTTTACATAGACGACCTCATCAGTGATACAGATATCCACTAGCGTGCACAGGAATCTTGTTAAGGAGGGGCAATTTTTTTCTTCTTAGGTGCATTTAATCTGGGGATGGGGAGTACTCCAAAGTACGTCGTAGATGGTGCTGTCCTCCTCCCACTTTTTCCCTACTGTTAAATTTAGCTAATTTTACTTATTTTTTGCTCCGGTGGTGGTTCATCTTCTTCAACGCAAACTGCTTTCAGACAGCCAATGGAAATTGGCAATTTAATCCCATCGACGATGTCGATGATGAACGGTTCGTCAAATGGTTGCGATAGTAGGGTTTTATCCAAAATTATATATTTGTTGCAATGTTGTTGCCTTGGTGGTTGAATTCAGCTGAAGTCACGTCAGATGTTGGTGATAGCATCGACAAACCGAGATGAATGACCAATAAGAATCGCATTCTCCTTTCGCATGCACACTGCGTCGACAAGTGCAAGGTTCAAACAGTGCACATAGCAGTGAACAAACAGTATATTGCTGAAGTAATGAAATTGGGTTGTTAGCGGAATGCTTTAATAAAACAGCAAAAAAGGTTATCTTCCATTTAATTCCACTTAATTAATTTTGGTATCCATGACAGATACGTATTTCGACTACAATGTGCAGTCTTCATCAGTGTCATTCCCACTAAAGAACTTATCAAAATCTAACCCCCTTAAGTACTCATCCCCTAGGTATAAAAGTCAAGATCACAGGTATATAAATGAAACTACAATGTGTTGAATCGGAACCTACCTAACTAATTAAAACCAAAGATTTAAGTAAGCTAAAGGAGAAAAATCTATTCAACTCTCTAATAAAGAAAATCCCAAAGGCTTGGTAGCCATCATAATGAAGTAATGAAATTGGGTTGTTAGCGGAATGCTTTAATAAAACAGCAAAAAAGGTTATCTTCCATTTAATTCCACTTAATTAATTTTGGTATCCATGACAGATACGTATTTCGACTACAATGTGCAGTCTTCATCAGTGTCATTCCCACTAAAGAACTTATCAAAATCTAACCCCCTTAAGTACTCATCCCCTAGGTATAAAAGTCAAGATCACAGGTATATAAATGAAACTACAATGTGTTGAATCGGAACCTACCTAACTAATTAAAACCAAAGATTTAAGTAAGCTAAAGGAGAAAAATCTATTCAACTCTCTAATAAAGAAAATCCCAAAGGCTTGGTAGCCATCATAATGAAGTAATGAAATTGGGTTGTTAGCGGAATGCTTTAATAAAACAGCAAAAAAGGTTATCTTCCATTTAATTCCACTTAATTAATTTTGGTATCCATGACAGATACGTATTTCGACTACAATGTGCAGTCTTCATCAGTGTCATTCCCACTAAAGAACTTATCAAAATCTAACCCCCTTAAGTACTCATCCCCTAGGTATAAAAGTCAAGATCACAGGTATATAAATGAAACTACAATGTGTTGAATCGGAACCTACCTAACTAATTAAAACCAAAGATTTAAGTAAGCTAAAGGAGAAAAATCTATTCAACTCTCTAATAAAGAAAATCCCAAAGGCTTGGTAGCCATCATAATGAAGTAATGAAATTGGGTTGTTAGCGGAATGCTTTAATAAAACAGCAAAAAAGGTTATCTTCCATTTAATTCCACTTAATTAATTTTGGTATCCATGACAGATACGTATTTCGACTACAATGTGCAGTCTTCATCAGTGTCATTCCCACTAAAGAACTTATCAAAATCTAACCCCCTTAAGTACTCATCCCCTAGGTATAAAAGTCAAGATCACAGGTATATAAATGAAACTACAATGTGTTGAATCGGAACCTACCTAACTAATTAAAACCAAAGATTTAAGTAAGCTAAAGGAGAAAAATCTATTCAAC